TAAGCTAATTTGCTTTCATTTTTTTTACAAAAAAACCCAAAAATATTTTATTTCCTTATTTTCACCCTTTTTTTAATTTATTTTTGCATAACATTTAGCTTAGGGCATTAGCATTCATGCATTTTGTTATATGTTTATTCTCACCGCCTTGGATGCCATGGAACAGGTTCACAGTTATTGTATCATTATTTGTCATGGATCTTGTTAATATCACACCCATCGAACCGGGACCACTAGTTGCAGTTTGGGATTTTATACTTGGAATCAGATGCCGGAAGCTTAAAGGGGTAAGTGATCATGGCCATGTAGTTTTCATGAAGAATTACACATGCAATACTAACAACTGTAGGATATACTATAGCAATGGATGTTCTTAACCCTGCAGTTACTACCACCAAGAGGATCACACTTGATCATGTTTGAACTGATAAAAAGAAGCACCGGTGCTTGTCCCCGAGTGGAATCCATATCCGGTCTCTTTACATCACTAATTTTTTTTTTGCGATCTTCCTAGGATTTTAGAGGGTCTTTTAGTCCACATTTAGACATTTTCATTATGATTGGAGAAATCACAAGTTTCAAGAGGATCTTACATCTTTATGCTCCACACATGGTGATTTTCATAACTTAGACCATTCATATTATTATTATTGTCTTTCAGTTCCACATACATACCTTTGGAAACCAAATTTTGAGTCAAAAAAGTTTTCTTGGTGAAAAGCAAAAATTCAATATGTTAGTGCATTACCTTCAAGTTTACTAATATGTGTTTAACATATTCCAAGCGGCAATTATGATAGATAGGTGGCTGGTTCAACTATTGAACAAACTTTCCTACATTTTGGTCACCTGGCGTTTGATATTCATTTATTTAAGTATGTTTTATTATATATATATATATATATATATATATATATATATATATATATATATATATAGATCGAGTTGTTTTTCATAAATTGGTGATGTTAGGGAGACTATTGAGTCGAATACTATGGGAGGTTTGGGCCAACACTAAGTGAACTGATACCTACAGCAGTGCCTGAGTGATGAAACCCACTCACATTTGAGAGTAGGCAACAGACGTGAGATCACACAACATTCGTGATTAGAGTGCACACTTAAAGAAGAGCTCCACACGAGCACATCCAGCTTCTTTCTCCCTTCTACAGATGTTCTTCATTGTATGCATGTTCCATTAGCCTGCGACTGACCATCCCTCCTTACTCACCTAGAGAAGTTGTACTAACTGTGGTTTATGGTCCCATTGTCATCGGATGAAAAAGTAATGAGATAATAGCAAGATCAATTATGACCATGTTGACTAACGGTGATTAGGTTCCATGGTTCTATCCATTCTTTTTATTTTCCTTAGGATAGTTCATCCCGAGTTCATTTTAGTCTTGTCTTACTCCAGGACAAGTAAGGTTTAAGCTTGGGGTGATTTGATAGCTTCATTTTATTTACACTTTTTTATAGTTTATTTTTGCACATGTCATTCGCATTTTAGTTAATTTCCATGCATATTCTCCTTTTTGTTATTTTATGACCATTTCGGGTACTTTCTAGTTTCTTGAGCATTATTGCAGATTTTTTTGGAGACTAGCAAAGCGGGATTTTTGGGAAGCAATTGGAAAAGAAGGGAAATGGGGATTTTGTGCTTGATGGCTTTGGAGGTAATTCATGGACTGGGCTTGTCAATTGCTTGAAGGCTTGGAAGATTTGAACTTTAAATTTGCAAGGCACGAGAGAGTTTTCGAGTGTGCGGAGATCGATGTTTGGGAGTTTGCAGAAGCTTTGAGTGATTTGGAGAGGCAATCTGAGCTGAAATTGATGAAATCTTGAAGAAATATGGGCTAGAAGTTGATTAGACTCGAAGTGGGCCAATGGAATAGCTGTGGGGGCCCAAAACTTGAAGAAACCCAAAAACTCCATCATAGTCATGCGGCCCCCGTAAGAATCCACGCGGCCCGCGTGGGTTCCTGCAAGGGTAATTTCAGGCTTTCATTTGGAGCTCTATATTGGGAAGGTTGGTGTGCCTCTTCAGCCTTCTCTTTGACATTCGATTTGGAGGCATTCTCTCTAGAGTTTTGGAGCATTTTGAAGGCCAAGAATGCTCAAGAACTTCATCATTTCAACCCATAATTCTTGCTAAATGCTTCGTACAATCTTCACTAACTTTGTTTTCTTAAGTTTAGCCATGCTTGGCTAAACTAATCGTGGTTGACTTTGGTGGATTTCTTTGACTAATTGTAGAATGTTGAAGATTCCATGAACTTGTGATTGAATCTTTATGAAAATATTTTGTGTTTTAACATCTTATCACTACTTGTATGCTTTTATTCATGAGTTTAAATGTTTTTGTGGTGACTAGTTGGCTAATTTCTTGATTAAGTAGTTGATGTTCAAATTAGCAAGCAACAAGTGATTTTTGTGTTAGTTTTACTTCACACAATCATAAAAAAAATTTCTACAACATGGTAGTGGAATTTTTTGACTCTTCTTTGATTTGGTGACTTTTTAATTCTTAATGCTAGTTGAATTTCACTAATTACATGCTTAATGGAAATTGTGACTTTGAATAAGAAAATTGTTATAAGCTTCTCTAACCATTTTGAGAACTAAGGAAATTCTAGGTAATCTCAAGCTTCTTGGATTACTATAGCAAAATTAAGGATTTAAAACAAGTATTGCACCAATGTATTCTAATGATATGTTCATCCAAAAGTCAAAGTGAGGAAATGTCACAACCCAATATTACGAATCAATGTAATGACCTAAAAAGTCAAGAATTGTAATCTCTTTTAATATAATGGAATTAGTGTCAAAAATAAAATGTTCAAAAGTCTCTATTGGGTTGCCTAAAATGATAGTTATTGTGTCAAGGTTTTCAGAAATATAAAGAACACTAAAATCTGAGTTATAACGAAGAAGTTATGAACAATCGAAAAATCGTGTCAAAACCGGTAAAACACCAGCAAACGTAAAAAGTGAAATTTCAATAAAATACTTTTTAGACTTAGGTATCTAAACGAAAGTCATAGATTATACTAAACCGTGAACGTGCATAAAAAGAACCCCAAAATCTGACTTCGTATGAGGAAGTTATGATTTTTCTAAGTTTCGGGATAGCGGTAGACAGCTAAAAACTCGAAATAGAGATCGAGGGATTTTTGGCCGAAACAACCTAAATGAGAATTGATGATCTCAACAATAGTACCACAACGGTAAAAATTCTGATGATAACGGACACCAGATGAAGAAGTGATGGATTTTTAACGGACTTTTCATGTCCCTGTCTGTTAAAAATATAATATTAAAAAATAAATCAAAATTAGCCAACGGAGTCTAAACGATAGTTGTAGAGCATGATCTCACCTACGCGTGCATATAAAGAACGTCAAAATTGGAGCTCGTATGCGGAAGTTACGGATTTTACAAGTTTGGGACACAAAACTCGTGGCTGTCAGGCAGCTCACGACGTGAGTCACCGATACTCATGACGTGAACCAATGACTGATGGGTTCTAGAGCCTATCAAAGAGTTATCAAGTCTGTGAGAGGAGGCAGGTCGAGCTCACAACGTGAGTCACCCATACTCACGACGTCACTACTAGACAAACAGCCTTTTACGACGCTCATTGCGCGTTGTAAAACGCTCAAACGACGCGCAAATGCGTGTCAAGGAAGGCCTTGTCATAACGAGAGCGACGCGCTTTTGCGCGTCGTCTAGAGATGACGTGCATTTACGACGTGCATTTATGACACGTAATGCGTATCACTAAAGTCGTTGTCAAGAAAGGCCATGTCATAAATGAAGATGACACACATTTTTGCGTATCGTAATTTTTATTTTATTTTTAAAAAAAAATTATTTATAGATTTACTAATTTTCAAATTAAATTTGCATTTCATGTCTCATAATAGAAAATAAAATACCATTTACAAAAAATACAATCCACTGCACAAAAGTTAATGTCATACAAAATACAAAATAAAATACAATAAATAAGAAAGATAATTCATTACACTAACATGTCAAATAAAAATAATCATCCCTAACTATATAACCTAATACTACATTGGTATTAAGGGACATAATCATAACTCACTGAAGGTCTTGGAACAATGTTCTCGTCATCAACTCTTACACCAACCTTGATTTACTAGATAGTCTTGTAGCTACTATCTTTTTTAGCATTAAATCCACACATATAGCATACCTGCAAATTGCTAATTGTTCTTAAATCTCAATACAAAGTATATATACATATCTCCAAGATGAAAATTATTCAAATAGGTGTTCTAAAATGCTTGCTACTTTTTATTCATGTCTTATATAATAATTCTATTTATTCAGGGTATAAGGTTGTGGGAATGACAGATTTATGTCCGTTACTTTGAATCAACACCATAAAATAATTACAAAAATACCCCTCCCAATTACAACATTGATTCTGATAAAAGTGAGTGAGAAATCAAATTAAGAATTCTTACTTCTGTTTTTACACATAAGATGAGCTTCTCTTCATCAACATCGATACTAAATGTAAGATCTAAAATATCATTGATATTGTTGTGCACATGAGTTTTCAAATATGTAAGTAAAAAAAAATGGATTTTTATTAGTAGGAGAAAATGGGTTGACTCAGTGAGACTCACCTCAAGCATCCACTTCAATTTTTTGAAGTAACCTGGATCGATAGCTTCAATGTCTGTTCTATTGGGCTCGTACCTCTGTATTATTGATTCCTAAAACTATATAGCACCAAGTATAAAGGATGAACATATTTGTGGCAGTGAGACCTCTGAAGCAGTGCAACCTCTTAGAACATGTTCCTTGTCAATCCCAATTTCAGAAAAAAAAATCATACGACTATATATAAACCGCACCAATCTGAAATCTCAGAACAGAAAAAAAAAATCATTTGAGTCATATGTATTCCAAACAAAATCTAGGATCAATAAATTCAAACTGTGTTCAATATCAGTTTCAGGAAGTTAGTTTACCACCATAGAAAGTGAAACTACAGATTTCCTGTTAGTCGAGCAAGTTTGTTTGTCCCCGAATGGACTGTTACTTTCTTCACAAACAGCGGGTATCATGATCAGAAGCATGTTCCCAAGGTTTCCTATAAAAAACAAGAACGATTGATACACGAGAAAAAGTAAAAACAAACCTATCTTTTCTTCAAAACTTTTAAAAGAAATTTATATTATATATATAGTACATACCAGCAACACATGAACCAATTACAAGACCATGCAAGTGTTGTGGGGTCCTAGTGATTTTAACGAGCGCCCATCCAAGTGCTTATCCAATTATGAATGTCAAAAGAATGTTAACCAACATGAACCATCTACATTTAATCATGTAGTTAGTTCATTATGAAATGTGATCTTCAGTTAATTGACTCTTGATCAAAACAAGTGATTTAATTAAGGGGACTTACAAAGATACTATGCTACTAGCTATGATTGTATCAGTGAGGCTACCACCCACAAGTGCTGGAATGAAGACATAGAATACGACCTGTTTAAAAAAAATCGCCATTACAAAATGGTATTCTAAGGTAAGATTAGAATGGGTGACTGTGAGTTACGTTGTTGAGATGGTGGTGAGCGGCATCGCCCAAGATATTAACATGATCCATGGCGAGAAATAGGCCCAGAGCAGTGATCAGAAGAGACTTGCGTACCGGAATCAACGCTACAACAAATAAATCCAGAACTGCCATCGATGCTTCTATTCTATTTTTGTTTCTTTATTTTTGAAAATTATAAGATATCCCAAATAGAGAATACATAAACTATGAAAAGGATCAAGCAATAACAGATGAATATTTTAAAGAATCTAGTTAAGGAACGGAATTGATAAATACAAATTTGTGGAAGGAGGGTATGAACAGATGAAACAAGGTGGAGAAAAAAGTGGAAAGCATATGGAGTACTCTAGAACTCACTGGTGGCAAAGGACCATGGTAGATTTATAATATGTCGAATGGATATAAAATATAAGTCAATTTAATTGTTTAAGCCACATTCGTAGATTTATAGATTGTGGTTTGAAAGGTATCTAAAATCACATCATACCATTGGTCAATATTATGAAAGTCATCTCATTTATAAATTTTTTATTTTTTATTTTTTTTGCTGCTGCTATTAACACAAATAATGTCATGTTAAAAATATGTCTGGATTGCTTCGCCCAATTTCAACCACCCAATGTGGCAATGGTATACAAACATCATCACCAACATTTCCTCCACATTCATGGAAATACATTACTACCTGAGCCAAACCTACCTTATGGTCACTTGTTTTATTTTCAAAATAAATGAAAAATGCAACAAATAGCAGCAACAGGTGACAAAATGTCTCAAAGAGGACAAACCTGTAACTTGAGCTTAAGCTCACACACCATTTGAAATAACCATTTATATGTGCTTCAACTATACCCCACCAGCAATCAACCATTAAGCCATCAACATTCATAGACTTCAAAAACCTTAATTGGTTCAGTAGACCATCAGGATCAACAACTTCACACTTCACATTAACTGCTCCCAATTGCACACCAATTTGTAATAAGTCCTTTAACTGTGCAATGCAAGAGGAGAGATGTTAACTTTTTTGTAAGAATATGGGACTTACAGGAAGCAACACATAAACAGGAACATAAGGAGTACCTGCAAAATCCCATTCATGTAACTTTGAAGGCATGTCAACAACCTACAAAGGAATTTAGGTCCTCAAAATTTAGATGTTTTGTTTTGGGTTAACCAAAACTTCTTCTTCTCAAACAGATCCTACAAAATGGAATTTAGGTTCTTAAAATACATACAAAACATATAAGAATGAAAAGAAAAAGAGAATAAAGAGTGAAAAAGGAATAAAAGAAACAATTACGGCTTTAGTTGCATTGTAGTAGATAACCCTGCCTTCACCTACTTTTTATTACTGAAAGTGCATCATTTTAGTCTCAGGAAAACATTTAATGCATAGATTAAAATAATCAAAGACATCAAATGAATAAGCATGCCTTATGTAAGTGAATATACATTTATTGAGAGCTTCTTCTATCACAAACTAACAGTATAATTTCAGTATTCAAATGAAACAGACTCCATAAGTAATACAATCTGATTGAGGCACCTACAACCACAAAAAGTAAATAGACAAATCAATATTAGTTATCTTTTCATTTGGCCAGGTGAGTTTTGAGTAGCAAAAAACAGATTTTGAGTAGAGAAAGAAGAAGAAAACCACTTGGAAGGAATGAAGTTAATAGCAACACTAAGTGAAAGTTAAAAATTGAAATGGTATAAAAGGTTGTTACTAAAATAGACAACCAAAAGCAAAACAAACTACAAAATCAATTTCATAATTTCTTGTTTTTTTTATTGCTTCTTAATCTTTATATATTTTAAGCTGAAACAGGTTTCCACCCATTTTCAAGTTCAAGAAAATTGTGCAGCTCACTGCAGTAGCTAGGGCCTGTTGTAGTGCATCTCCATCAATCACTCTGTTACAAAAAACAATTCAAAGATATAAAAAATAATAGCATAATAGCGAAGTGCATATTCATCAATCACTCATTGATAATTCATTATTTATAAAACCTAGAGTTCACTTCCTTTTGAAAAAAAAAATCAAGGGATACTGTTTACATTGATAGAAAGAAGAGAGACGAACCACAAAAATTTGACCTTGATGTCATCTTTAGTGAAATCGGTAAAAATTCCAACTTACATGTGAAATTGATGAACCAAAATGGCAGGAGGAAGTGCTCACTAGTACCAAACGATAGATTGCGTTGACAGAAAGAAGAGAGACGAAACTAAATGGGAAGTAATAGAAAAATTAATACATTAATTTGATCAGACTTTACCTTGGTTCATAGCTTTTTGTAGAGAGAATGAAAGAGGAAAATAAGGAACCGATGCGGTGGAAACAGATAAATTGAGTAGATTAGAGATACCCATAAAGAGAAGCTACCGAATACGTGAAATTAAAAATCCAGTGGTATACATAACTTCAGAGATGGCGTGCCTACTGTTGCCTTGATCGACATCGACGATCGGGAAGGGCAAGTAACGATGGTCGAAGTGCGAGGGAAGAAGTTGGTGGCAGTCAATGTCGGGAGGAGGGAAGGAAGGAGCGTCGATAATTAGGGCAAGAGGGAAGCTAAAGTGGAGGAGAAAAAAGGAAGGCAGACATTTTAATATTTTAGGATTTCATTTCCCCCCTAGAATGGAAACCGCGTTTCTATTAAAATTTATAAAGCGACGTCTTAGACGACGCACATTTTATTATAGGTGCCCTCCATGCTTTTTTTTTTCAGACACTAATTTCATGGCACGCAAAAATGCGTGTTCTAAATCCTTTAAATTTTATGAGAGATGACATTATTTTTAGGGCGCCCACAAATACGTGTCATCTATCAGCGAGTGTCATTGTTTGCGCGTCATTAAAGGCTATTTTTCTTGTAGTGTGTGAACCTTAGATTTCACCCCTATAAATAGAAACCGATGGTTTAGGGTTTAGGTGCTCAATTCTCTCCTCTCTCGTGCCAAAGCGCTGAATTTTAACCCCTGAAGCCATCTCGAAGCCACAGTCTTCACATCCAAGTCCAGAAGGAAGCTTTTACACTCCTCAGATTCCCGAGAATCCCGAGAAATTAGTTTTCTCCTATTGAAGTTCTGCTCGGTTTTCCTCTCACCTTCTTCAATCTATCA